AATTCTACAATATTTCACAGAATGACCTTTTTGCATGCAGTAAAAACATTTAACAAAAAGAGATGACACGGATTTATTATATGCAAAATAGTTTTTAAGAGCTCTAGTTTTCTTTCCAATGGGAGGTGTAAAACCTATTCCACCACGGTTAATAACAAATTTTTGAGAATCAAGTATCATATCAAGACTAGTCTTTCCTTTTGCTAGTTTAGATGCAGTTTTTATTAAATATGTTAATTTCTCTTGCAACTTAGGACAATTTTTACAATCTTTAACATTACACATGCAATCAGAGTTATTGTCCATATCCGAATTTTCATTCTTGATTTCTTCATCAACTATTTTCTTTTCAAGAATAGTGATCTTATTTTCTAATAGATTATTCATACTTTTTAGCCTTTTGTTTTCAGTTTCTAATCTTTTAGCTACTGCATGCATTTCATAAAAAGCATCTTGTAAAGAACTATAATTCAGAGTAGTTGTTGGGTCAGAACTTACACTGGTTATTGGAGAATCTGAATTGACCATTAAGCATGTCTCTGTTGTTTCTTCATAGACTATTTCAAGGATCTTCCACATTTGTGCAGCAGTTTGACAGTGTGCTATCCTGAAAAAATTGTTTCTGTTAAGTGCAGATATGATGATATTTTTGGCAATACAATCGTCTTGGATTAATTTCTTTTCACATTCATTTAAGCTACACCAATCTTTGTTAAGAATATCAGTTTCTTGTTCAATGACATTCCAAACATTTATACTAACAGATTCAATAAAGATCTTCATCCTAATTTTCCAAAATGGATAATATGTTCCACAAAACAGTGGAGGTCTATCAATACAAGCACCCTCAGAAAATTTGTTTCCAGCCATGGATCGAAAGACTTGAATAACACTCAAGAACCTTGCTCTTGATACCAATTGTTAGAAAAAGAGGCTGAGATCAAGAGGGGGGGTGAATTGATCTTAGAAATATTTTCGTAATTAACAGATTATCTATTTCAAAAACTAAGATTTCAGATCTGTTCTTGAATCACACAGCAAGCAATCAAAAAATAAATGCAGCAATAGAATTAAAGAAAAGAAAGGTTTAGAAAGATATCACCAAGGTTTATACTGGTTCACCCAATCCCAGGGCTACGTCCAGTCTCCAGCCAAATTCCAGCTGGGTTCCACTAGATTGAATGTTTTACAGATTACAACCTTAACCTTACACTCAATCTACCACAAGAACCACAATTCTAGTTCCTGCACCTAACCTTTCACCAAGAACCAAATTCCAGTTATTGACAACCTCTACAAAAAAATTCCAGCTGCAGAGAAACCAGTGCCCACAATTCCAGGCACCAACAATACAGAAAAGAATGTAAAGAAACAAACAGAAGAAACTAAAACACTCAAACCAGTTTTATGCAGTTCTGCAATATGTGTTTCTTCTCCAAAAGAATGCAATTTTGCCTCAAGAAAGAACTTTGATGAACTTCACAAAAACTAGCGTGATTCTATCTTGAAAGTAGTACTTTTGATTGCTTGATTGATTGCAAAAAGATGTGTATCAGATATCTTAAAAAATGATCAAGCAACTCTGTTTATATAGAAGATTTTCAAAACTGCTGGTTTAATTAATCTTTTAAAATAATCTTTTAATATGTTAAAAGCCTTGTTTTAATCTGTTAAAACTTCTTTTAATCCATTAAAACGTTCTTGATTCTTTTCCAGATTTGTTTTAACTGATACAACAACGTTTATATCAATTAAAACTCTTTGTAAAAAATCTTCTAATTTGTTTTAATCGATTGTTTCGTCTTTCAATCGATTAAAATACTGCAAGATATTCTTATAAACTTTTTCAAGTGATTTTAACTGATAAAAGATCATATTAATCGATTAAAACGCTGTAGTATAAATTTTCTTAAGTTGATTTAATCGATTGAAATGTAATTTAATCGATTGAAATAAATCTGATCGGTCATAACTAAATTCTGATCGATCATATCTGATTCTGATCGGTCATACAAGTATACCAAATGAAATTAATCGATTAAAACGAAGTTGTATCGATTAAAATACTGCCAAAACACTTCTCTGAACATTTTAAGTGATTTTAATCGGTTATTTCGAAGTTGTATCAGTTAAAATACTGACAGAAGGTTTTCAAAACTTTCTTTAATGAAAACAATCGGTTATTTTGAAATTATATCAGTTAAAAACTTGTTTATAAAAATGTGAAGAATTTTAGTTGATAGAACATATATGCTATTAGTTAAAAATAGTTAATTCAAAAGCTTTTATCAAAATACTTTGTTTTTAACTGTTTAAACGTTTTTAGAAGCATTTTGCAAAATCTTTTAAGTGAAGAAACCTCATGCAACAGAAAAGATAAAAATGATTATACCTAAGCAGAGCTGCAGACACACTAATCCCTCTACTCTTTTATCTAAGTGACTTTTGACTGCCACAAAGTTGCCTTTGACTTCATTCTTGACTTCATCAAATCAACAAGATCTTTACCAGAGTATTTCAATAAGATCTTCATCATTTTCAGCACGAACAGTGAGAGGGAGAGACATGGAGGAGGTGCAGGGCACGACATGGAGGTGCAGGGTGTGATACGGAGGTGCAGGGCGCGACTCAAAGGGAAAAAACCAAACGAAATGTAAGGAAGAGGAAGGAGGAGGCACGAGGAAGGAAGGAGGAGGCGACAAAAGTGAGCGAGGAGGGTGCACGGGAATAGATATGAAGAAGATATGACGACGGTTATTTAATAATCGTCGTCGTATGTCATATACGACGACAGTTATTAAATAACCATCATCAGATAGTTGGCCTCGTCCCACATTCAACATGGTTATTTAATAATCGTCGTCAAATGTTTTATACAACGATGACTATTGAATATCCATCATTATATTATTGTTTTTATTTTTAAAAATGTCACCACAACACCTTGAACGATGTCTCCGTAATGATCGTCATTAAAAGGTGTCATTATTTTCAATATCTATACCAAATGTTTATTTAATTAGTCTCTTTGTATGCAATCGTAATTGGTTTGGTACCTTTGGTTATAACTTTATTTCCTATTAGTTAATGTGAATATATGTAGGGGTGTCAAATTAAACTTAGTCTAATAGGTATATTTTGAAAAACCGAGTAATAAGTCAATATAGCAAAAGAAAAATTTGTAACCTAATTTAATTAGGTTATTTTGTTCCAATCCATTTAAATCATGACTTATTTAGGTTTGAGTCAGGATAATTTAATGGTCAACTCGTTCTATAAAATAATAATAATTTTTGAAATAAAATTAATAATATTTTATTAAAAAATATATATTATTATAAATTAATTTAATAAATGATTTATTTGTTATAAAAGTAAATATTAGAGTAAGTCTTGAATAATCACTTATTATAAAATCTAATAATTAATATTAATTATTATTTTAGATTAATAAATTATTTAAAAAATAAAAAATGATTATAAAGAATATATAAGTTTTTTACTCTTCTTTTTAAGATTGAATTAATTTATTATTTTATAATTTATTATTAAATTATTATGTCTTAAATAAAAATAAATTTTTTTAATTTTTATTTAAATATTTTTAATTAATTATTTTGATAAAAGAAACCTGTTAGCTTGTTAATCTAACAAAGGTTGTTAAAAATTATGACTACAGATCAGGTTGAACGAATCACCCAGTGATTCTTCTTAATTTAGGTTCTAAACATTTGACCTATTATTTATCTGATTAAAATAATAAAAAATCTAATATATTAACAACTATTGTAGTTAAAAAAACGGATAATATTTATATATTTATGGAATAATCCGAAAAAATATTATAAAGTATTTTGATTAATGGATGAGAACAAATTTCGGATAATATAAAACTTTTATAATATATAAAGTATAAAAGTATTATTATTTTTTTATTCGGATTGATGAATGTAAAAGTATTCCGAATTGATAAATTTGAAGATTTATACAAACTTTTGGATTAATCAGTGAAGAAAACTTTTGGTATTAATACGGCCAAGACCACGGTATGGTCCGCAAATACTTTTTCCTCTCTTTTGGGTTGTGATATCTTTTTATGTCCCAAACTTTTCTACAACTTCTCAACCATGCCTCCCAAAAGGGGGAGTGGGTAAGCTCTATCATGGCCCTTTTCTATCTCATTGTTCACATCTCTTATTCGGAAATTTTATGGATCCTTCTACCCAAAACTCTTTTAAAATATATATGGTTGGTGGAGATTATGGGATGAAGGAAGAATCAACCTTTCTTGTTATTTATGCTTTATCCATCTCAAATCAGTTTTACCACTAACACAAACACTTATTATTTCTTTTATTTTTTTTATATAATTTAAGTAACTTTTCTTTTCAATTTATTAACTTTAAAAACATAATCAAATGAGTCTCATAGGTGACTCAATATTTAACCAACACCATTCTTTTTTATACCATAATTTTCTTAATGATGAAACAATAAAATTATAAAAATAAGAAATTCTATTGTACTTATTTTTTTAATAATAAATAAAAGTTACAAAAATAAAAAATTTAGCCAATTTTTATGAATAGAAATTTAATATATATATATATATATATATATATATATATATATGAGTATATGTAGTAATTAAAACTTATGAGTACATTTCATTTATGTAGTATACCTAACTGATGTCCGATAATCAATATATATATTTAAAAATGAAATATTTAAAATGCCTCGATTATATTTTAATAAAAGATATAAAGTATTTAAAAGATCAATACATATAAAATTGGAAAATTCCCATGAAAAGCTACATAATCAAATCAGCTCCATTTTTAGAAAACAAAATAATTAATACCGTACTGTCAAAAGATAAAACAAAAGGTACACATCTTCAACAAAGAGAAAAAAACATTTTTTATTTTCAAGTTTTCATTCATATATCATAGCTGGTTCTTTCTTCTTGGGTTGTATTAACAACAGTATTGCAGAAAATGCAGGCCTTCTCACCCAATGGAGGGGTTGTAAGAGTGCAATCACACTCTAACATTGTTCCAATAACCGTTCCCCTCAAACCTAACAACTTCGCATGGACCCAATACAAATCAACTTCTAGGATCACCCTGAGATGCAATTCTCAAACTCAACCATTTCCATACGTCTGCGCGCCAAAGTCGCCAAGGATCTGCTGTTCCAATGTTGTCCCAGTTCGGTGCAGCATTTCGTCGAGCGGGTACGGTGCAAATGATGGTAGGAGTGTTGGGGAGTGGCTTGTGGTGGCCGGAGAGGTCCTTTCAACGGGATTCCCGTTGTGGGTTTCGATTGCGTCTGTTTTGGGGTTGATGAAACCCGATTGCTTCAACTGGGTCACTCCCAAATTAAGCATCGCGGGGCTCAACATCATCATGTTGGGGATGGGTATGACTCTCACTCTTGATGATCTTCGTGGGGTTCTTGCCATGCGTAAGCAAGTACTCTCAGGTTTTTTCATTCAGTATTCGGTTAGTATCTGTTTGAGATTTGTTTGGTTTGTTTTATGTATTAAGACTAGGGCTTGTTTGGGTTTAAATTTTTAAATAATATCTCAAGTTCTATAAAAATAATACATTTGAAAAAAATAAAAAAATATACTGTCGTTAAAATTAGTGACTACTTCCCATGATTCACAAGAAAATAAAATCAAAATCCGATCTATGAAAAAAGAAAAAGTTAAAATGAAGCAAAGGCTTAATATAATACTGGTGATGTTATATTATGAGTTTATAATATTGGTAATATATGACTATTTTTTTGAGAAATGATAAATTTATTTACTCTATTCATAACCGATCTGGTGGATATAAGGAATTTGATTTTTTTTTTATGTTAGTTCTAAAATTAGAAGTAATTTTAAAGATATAATTAAACTAAAATGTCAAATAGTATTACGTAATATATTAAAAAATTAAAAAAAAAAACAAATAAAGGCTATAACAAAATTGTAACATATAAAATGATTTATATAAAAGAATTACACATATTTAAGATTATAAATATAAAAGTTATTAAAGAAATCTTGATGATGTTAAAAAAATGTTGGAAATAATATGGAAAAAAAGATAGCAAAATCATTTAAAAATAGATGGGTAGGCTTTACACAACCGTTGTACTGAAAGAGGTATCGTTTGTTTTGTGTGAATTGGTGACAATTTTCAGGTGATGCCACTGTCTGCATTTCTTATAAGCAAACTCTTAAATCTTCCATCACATTCCGCAGCAGGTTTGATATTACTTGGGTGCTGTCCAGGAGGTATCAACTTTAATTTTGTCCTTTGGATTACTTAATTATTAAAGAATAATATAAACGAGAAAGACGTATTAATTAAATATTTCCCACACAAGGTGGGATATAAAGAGGAATGACGAAAATTTTATTTGACTAGGATAAAAAATCTCCTTCGAGATCAAAGATAAAAAGGGTGACAAAATTTTATAATATAAAAGGAAATATAATTTTCACAGTACTGAATTATTTTTGCAATTCAATTAAATATGTTCAATATAATTCAATTCCTTGAGATTTTTTTTAAGAATAATATTAATATTTTATACAGATTGAACTTATATTTTATTATTATTGTCTATTCCTAATAAATTCTTCTTGAAATATCAAATAAATGGTATAAGAAATAGTGGTATTTGTATAAAAAAAATTCCTTACAATAAATCAAATAAGCGTGTCTAATAATCAACAATACATAAAAAGGTTATTATTTAATTCAGGAATATACTAATCCAGAGAAATTCACAATATATTAATAAATATAGACACACTAATAATATATATATATATATATATATATATATATATATATATATTGATGAATATAACTCTACTTCTTTTATTGAGTTGATTTATTACAATTTTTAAAAGAAAGATAGACCAACATATATTTTAAAATTACTGATCTCCAACCCTTCCTCTTTTGCTTGCTTCTTCTTTCCCTTGTCTAATTATGCATTGTTAACCACAGTTTTCTTTCCACCCATCACTTATGTTTGATATGGTATTTGTTTGGTTGTAGGCACAACTAGCAACATCATAACCTATCTTGCACGGTATAGATATTGCCTCTCAGAACTGTTATTCCAATTAAAGCTTTTGTTGGGCTTGAATTCATCAACAAACTAATCAATGAGTTGTTTATTTTTTGTTTTGGTAGAGAAAATGTGGCGCTTTCAGTGATAATGACAACTGCAAGCACACTAACTGCCATGGTTGGTAGATTTCCTATTAATGACAAAATGTGGTACTGCTAGACTTATTATAGTAATATCAATTATATATTAGCAAGTTTAACTTCTCAATTCTATCGGTATGAAAATTGATATCTTATTTTTAAATAATTAAATTTTAATTAATTTAATATTAAATAAAAAAATGATAAAAATTAATTGAATTTTTGTTATTGGTGTAAGTTTTTTTCGTTTTATAAAAAAATTATTATTAATAAATTTAATATATTAATATATAATAAAAATAATTATTTTATTAAATTTGATCAAATCTTAAAATCTTAAATTCATGTTTTTACCAATTAGTTAGTTTGATTTTAAAATATGAATTACAAGTCATATTTTTTATGTATACTCGAATACACTATTAATTTTAGTAGATTTAAATTCTCATTAATTAGTTTTTTTTTCTCATTAATAATTTTATTTAATAAAAATATATGTATAAAACGTCTTATATAAATGGATGGCGTGATATCATTTGATGAAATTTTTTATAAGTAAATTAATTTTGATATTCATTATTATTATTATTATATAAAAATTGATCTTTTAATTTTATTATATTTTATACGTTTGACATTTTTAAAGTTTTTTTATACCTCAAATAATTAAGTGAAGCTAAAATTTTCCTCCATCGCTCTTTTTTCTGTCATTTTTCCTATGTTACTAAGATTTTACAGAAAGTGAAATGGGGATGTGACACTGAATAGTTTGTATTTATTTTTGAGTAAATACATGTTTCAGTTTTTTACATGTGTAAGCAAAGAATTTTTTTGTAATTTAGCACTTTTTTTCAAATTCAAATATTGTATCAGAATGTGCATTCTTTCATAAATAAATTATTATCATTTTATTAAAACTTAACTATGCAGATCATGACACCTTTTCTGACAACCAAACTCGCTGGCAAATATGTAGCAGTGGATGCACCTGCCTTATTGATTTCAACATTGCAAGTAAGCTTGCTTCTTACTTATGATTTTTTGTCCCTGATTCATCATTTGATGTGATCACATATACTTCCTGGTTTTTTACATCGTAGAATTCCATTTTTAACATGATGTTTCTTTCTTAATAACTTATTCTTATTCTCTCAACAGGTTGTGTTTGTTCCTGTGTTGGCTGGTGCATTTCTGAACCAGTTTTTCCAACCTATTGTTAAATCTGTGTCTCCATTGATGCCACCCATTGCTGTAACGACTGTAGCAATTTTATGTGGAAATGCTATTGCCCAGAGTTCTTCTGCAATGCTTGTGTCTGGTGGACAAGTTATGTTAGCCACCTTCCTTCTTCAAGCTTCCGGCTTTTTCTTTGGCTACGTATTCGCAAGATTGCTTGGGATAGATCTGTCATCATCACGAGCCATATCTGCTCAGGTTGGCACCAAGGTACAGTTTAGTCTCCCTCAGCATTAGAATCAATTTTAGTGTCACACATGTTTCAATCAAAATCAATGGCTGTGCAGCCATTTCCTTCAAAATTAAGGTTTACCTTTTTAATGTTTATGGTAAGTGTTTTTTATATGTTGTAATGTTTTTAAATAAGTAAAGGTTTTGCATATAATATATAAGAGTATCAATATAATCTCTGAAAAAACTGAAAAGATATCAGTATAACGAAGTTACTCAAACTAATGTTGTAGAGTAGTAGAAATATCTGAATACAAAACTTGCTATAACTCAGATAATTTATGAGTTATATTGTATGCAATTTTGTAGAACGGTGTTCTGGCTATTGTTCTTGCTACAAAGCACTTTGGAGATCTCCTAACTGCAGTACCCGGTGCTGTTTCCATCGCAAACCAGGCAATTGTTGGTAGTATTCTTGCAGGAATTTGGAGACGCTCTGTGCGATGAATCACTAGATGAGCTTCTTCTTCATCATAACTACAGACCTCATGCTCATATTTCCTTCTTATTTTGTTATCAGATTTCATTATACTTTCGATCAGAATTTTGATTCCGTGATTTCAAAGAATTTATTTTCTTAATATTTGAGATTATTCGGACAAAAGATTTATATGATTTTCCTATGTCATTTAATTTTACTAGTACGCTTCAACTCACCTTTAAATTTACATGGAGACATTATAATAAACATGTTTCAATGTCTTATTCACCATTATCCATAATAATTTGCGAATATTGGTACTCATTTATCAAGTTATTTATTCAAGCTTATTTTGAATCTTTGTTAATTTTAACTTTCACTCACTAAGATTTTTACATTTTTTATTTTAGTATTTTTATGTCATCTACTAGTCTAACATTAGCATAAGACACGTAAATTTATATCACCATAAAAATTGATATAAGTTTATATTAATTAAGTCAACACTCAACATTAATTTATACGGAAAAAAAAAACAAAAAACAGATATAACTGAGTTTTGAATATTAAAAAAAATGACAAATTCATGTATGATATATCAATACAAACATATTTTAATCATACGTAGTTTTAGATTTTGAACAGAAATAACAATTCAAAATACAACAAAACAATACAATATAATATAATTTATAAATTTTAAATAGTATAAAGTTAAACATGAAGACAAAATTATTTCAAAGTTAAATTAGTAAAAAACTAAATTATTTACATGTTAAATTACATAATATATATAATACAATATAATACAAGCTAAGTATTAGAAATTTTGAAAAAAAAATTTACTCATTATTCTCTAATTTGTCTAATATCATGTTTTGATAAGATGAATCTTGAAATACTTGAAACATTAATTTGACTCATATCAACGTATAACATGCATAAAGATAAATCAACTTAACAAATGTTAAAAGAAATTACTTCGACCTAATAATCGGTTATTCAACACAAACTATGACTCTCATTCAATACATATTATAATAATCACATTTAAAGGAGTATATTTGCTTATTACATAGAAATAAGAAAAAAAACATAATGTTATTTTCAAAATTTAAATACACAAACTAATTATGATGTTTATATAAATAAAATTCTAATCTTATGATAAATGAGTTGCAAATTCTTTGTTATGAGTCTTCTATTCAGAAGATTAGTTTCAAACACAACTATAATTAAAATAAAGTTAGATATTATTTAATATATATTTATACTTTAAAAATATAATAAAAAAAATAAAGTTATTTTTCGACATAGTTTTCGATGTAATGAACAAAATCACACCATAGTGTAATTTTTGAAAATAATTATAATTAACTGTAAGTAAAACACATATAATATAAAAATTATTTATAAAATTATTAAATTAATATCATAAACAATATATTTAAAAAGAAAAATTACTTAAATAGAATCCTTATTAATTTATTTACCCAACCAATTTACTATTCACACACAACATTCAATAAAAAAATAAATTCATTTAATATAATAAATATATTTTCCTTTTTTTCTCATTTATTTTCTTATTTTTCTCTCTCTTCATTTACACTCTCTTTTTTTTTCTTTTTTTTCTCTGTTGTTCTTCTCTCACTTCACCTTATTCTCTAATTAAAAATAGTAAATTAAAATTTGATATCATAAGTATTTTATTATTACTAAAAATAAAAATATTTAAATAATCTAAAAATATTATAATTTAATATATTATATTTAAAAAAATATTATATAATAAATTTGAGATATTATAAATCCTATTATTATATTATAATTATTAAGAAAATTTTAAATATTTATTTAAATTATTTTTAATAAATATTTTTTAAAATTATTTTTAATAAATATTTTTTAAAATTATTTAAGCTTATCATAACTCAAAAATTATTATAATTACATGTAATTATTAAATAAAAAATACCGTAATATTTTTTAATTAAATGAGTAATTATTTATTATGATAAAATAATTTAAAATTAATTATTTACATCATCATAAAAAAATTATTTATTATCATTATAAATTAGTTTTTGTTTTAATATTGTTTTTAAAATAGTTATTTTAATATATTTTTATTAAATTTTGATATAATAGTTGAATTAGGAGGAGAATGAATGGGAAATGAGAGAGAAATCAGAAAAGTAAGATAGAAAAAGAAAAAGAGTAAACAAAGAAAGAGAAAAAATATAAAATTTATGAAGAGAGAAGGAGAATTATGTATAAACACTAAACAAGTCTATTTCAGTAAATAAAATTATGCAGGTTGTATTTTTGTAATTTTTTTTAAATATATTATTTTTAAAATTTATTCTAAAATTAACATAATTAAAAATATAAATTAAAATATAAACCATTTAGTGTATGGAACCAATTATATATATCTTTATATGTTATTCATCAATACTTACATATATTGTTAAATTTTGATTTTTGTGTTTCCATATTGTTGGATAGAGTGTGCTTCGATAAATTCATTATTTTAATTTTTTTTTATTTGTACTCAATTTGTCAATATGCTTAATACAATAAATTATAATTTAAATATAATTATCATAATCTTATAAATATAATTAAAAATAACTTACATAATCCATATATAAATGTTTAATATATAGTTTCTCCCACAATTTCCGTTGGACAAGTAAAACAATTGTCAGGTTCAAATACTCTGAAAATGTTTCATTAATATTTTCCCATGAAAAATCAGCTCAATGGCAAAAAAAAGGGTTCTCACAATTTTTTTGTTCAAATGTTGTCTCTCACCTCTTTAGTTCATAAAATTATTAAATAATATATTTTATACGCTGCCGTCTTTTAATTTTTTTGAATAAATAGTAAAAAAAAGGTATATTCCAAAATCATTATACTAATTCGAGTTTCTAACTAAAACTTAAGAAAAAAAAAACACAAATAATTTGAGCTTAGTAATTATGTATGAAAAAAGTTATATGAATTGCATTTTCCTCTTAAAAATTTAAATTATTTGTTTCTCCACATATTTAATAGCTTATAATTGATTTTACATATAAAAGACTCAAAAGATTTAGATTAAAATTTGAAAAAAAATTAGTATTATGAAATTAAGGTTCCAAGAAAATAAATATATGAAAAGCAAATTAAACTCACTCATAAAAAAAATTAAATATTTTTATTTTTTTTTAAATTGCAAAAATTCAAACGTAAATATTACTTTATGAACAAAACTCAAACTTTCCTATAAAACGAGCAGCATACATGATAATTATTTGTCATTTTTTCTTGTAAAACTATTTATTTATTTATTTTTATTTCCTATATATTTTTAATCCTTGATTAATATTTTTGTCGATATGGTTTTTTTTTTCTAATGTAACATTTAAGACGTGCTTTGATGTCTTTTTTTAATGACGTGGTACACTCTACATAATAATAACATATAAAATATTGTTGTAATTTATTTTTTATGGCAAAGACTAAGTGATTGAGATATCAAACACTGATTAAATTAAAATTTGCAGGGCGTTTACTTTTCAAAAAAAAAAAACTAAAAACAATATTAACTGCATGCATGATCATTTTTCAGTCACTAATTTAAAATTATAAATACAATTATTTTTAATGAAATAAACTTTTATCTCAATGATGACTGGTAATGATATTATTTTATCCGATTTAAAGAAACAAAATAAACCTTCAACTCTTAGCCGACGATTTTATTAAATCTAAGATGATTTAAGAATTAGTTATTAGTGAATTTCAGACAATAAAAATTAAAATAAAATAAAATTATAATTAATGTAATAGACTATGATAAAAATAAATTTACTTATATAATTAATTATAATTAAGAATATAATCAATTTTTTTAATATAAAATTTATATTAAATTCATAACATTTTTATATTAAAATACATAAAATTATTATTTTTATTCGTCTCTTATTGTTCCGATGGAAATTTCTTACTGAAGAAGTATAAACACGTACTTCAATATTTGTGTCTTTAATTTTTTTATGATTAATTTTATAATTTAAATATATTATATTTTTTTAATTATTTGTCATATTATTTTTCTCATATATTTATTATTTTTAAAATATATAACCTATAATAATTATTTTCCTTTTTTTCTCTTTCATAACACTAAAAATATTACAAAGAGAATTATATATAATTAAAGAGGAATTTTAAAATATATTATTTCATAAAAAAATTTAATCATTTGAATAATTTTAATTATAAATTTCATATTAACATAATATTTTTTAGTTACATGTACTCTAATAATTGGGAACAAAGTTAAATGTGGTAGGTATTAGAAAGCATCCAATAAATTGCAAATGGTTGGATGCATGTGGTCAGATTTGAACCTGGACACTCACCCAATTTTCTTCATGGCAGCCTTTTCGCTATCCCTTGTCAGGGACAACCTCATAGTCTGTATCCATGTGCGTAGATGGCTTTTTCAACAAACTAATTTCTAAAAGTTTTTTGAATAATTTTATTTTTAATTTATCATGTCTTAGGTTTTTGTGTTTTATTAACAATGAAGAGTTATGAATTGGCTAAAACAAAAGTATTCTTAGTTTAAATATATATTTCTTTAAAAAAGTGTTATTTCTCTATTTTAAAATAATGGCTTTTTATTTTTATTTTTATTAAAATAGTTTCCTTGACTATTTTTTGAACAATATTTTTATATGTAATTTTAAGTAATCCACAGTATTAGTCATTAAAAGAGAAACACAAAAGTATATAAAAGTTTAACATATTTTGGTCTATACTTGTTGTATTATTAGTTGGCTATTTTTTTAGATAACCTTCAAATACTACTCCCCTATTATATTTTTTTCTAATTTTTGAAAGTAAAGAAAATTTTATTGTACTAATTTTTTGTCGTTTATGCTTTGGTGTTTTCGTCATTTTATATATTAAACTATAAAAAAATGAATTTGATAATATTGTGTTTTTTAAAAGTTGTGTTTAACAAAATCATTAAATATGTTAATAGAATTGATTGACGTGTCTAATATACCTATTTAATGCTTTTTAAGTTTTAGTTAAAATGGACTAAAATGAACCTTTTTTGAAAATAGATTAAAGTCTTTATTAATCTATTTAATATTTTAATTAAAAAATATGAACTTTTTAAAAATTAAATTGAGATTTTGAAATTCTGTCGATGACTTGTTGCTACTTTTATTAATCTATTTAACGTTATTATTAAAAGTAACCAAAATAAACCGTTTGAAAAACATAAAATCTCAAATTTATACATCTAAAATTTAATATACTAAAACGTAAATTATCAAAACCTAAAAAAACTAAAAGTTAGCATTTTTTTAAAAAATGTAAAAATTAATAATAATAGGAGTTAATATCTTGGACAAATAATGATTTTACAAAAAATGGAATGAACATGCGACGAACATGCACCACATGAAATTATCTATTATTTGTTATTTTCTTAATATTTATCTGCCAAAGATTTTATAAACATCCATTGTAAAACTCAACCTAATAATGACATGTTGATTATTATTACCTTAGTTAAAATTATGATTAAGTGTTTAAGAAAACATTGTTTAATTCTGAAATTATAATTGTTATTTATGAATGTTGCAGATGATGACTCCTTTTGTGACAGCAAAACTTGCTGGTAAATATGTGACAGTGGATATGCATCTGGTTTATTGATTTCAACATAAGTAAGCTTTACCTCTGAAGTTAATCAATGTTGTCTTTGTTTCTATACTTCGTTGCGATGCTCCTTTGTCATGGTTACTTTCTCTCTCCGCAGGTCAGGTGGTTCTTTTTCCTCTCACTACAAGAATAACATCAAATAGTGACCGAAAATTCGGTCACTAAATCTGCAAAATCGATTACTAATTAAAATAGTGACCGAAATAGTGACCAACTGGAATCGGTCACTATTTCCTTGGTCACTGATTTTAGTGACCGATTCAGTGACCGATTTAGTGACCGAATCAGTGACCGATTCAGTGACCGATTCAGTGACCGATTCAATGACCGAATCAGTGACCGAATGGAATCGGTCACTATTTCCTTGGTCACTGATTTTAGTGACCGATTCAGTGACCGAATCAGTGACCGATTCAGTGACCGATTCGGTGACCTTAGAGTTGGAGGTTGAAACTCCAACCACTGAGCTACTAGGATCTTTTAATAATAACTTACAAATAAATTATATTTATATATAAATAAATGTATATCCGTATAAATATAAAATCTATAAATAAAAATATATATATTTTAATATATAAAATCTACAAATAATGGTATATTAGTATAGTATCGTATATTTGTATTCTAATTTTTAATTAAATTAAAATTATGCTAATAATGTATATTAATATATGAGGGGATAATATTGATATATTTGTATATATATATATATATATTTATATATATATATATATATATATATATATTTATATATATTTATATATTTATATATTGATATATTTATATTTTTATATTTTGATATATTTATATATTTATTTATATCCTTATACATTTATATCTTTATATATTTATATATTTGAAAAAAAAATATTAATTAAATATAGATTAATTAAAAAAATAAATTAAATAATAAAGTGACTGAAATAGTAACCGATTTTTTGTGACCGAAAATTCGGTTACTATTTCGGTTACTAGACTAAAAAATAATAATTTGGTTACTGATTCGGTCACTCGATAGTAACTAAATTTTTTGGTCATCGATTTCGATTACTTATTTGACATTTTTCTAATAGTGTGTGTTGGGTGTTGCATTTCTGAATCAGTTTCTGCAACCTATTGTTAAAGTTGTCTCCCTATTGATGCCACCCATTGCAGTAACAACTGTTGCAACTTTATGTGGAAAAACAATTGCTCAGAGTTCTTCAGCAATATGCTTGTGTGGTGGAGAAGTCATTTTGGCCATCTTTGTTCTTCATGCTTCTGGCATTTTCTTTGGTTACGTGTTTACAAGATTACTTGGGCTTCATAATTAATTCAATCATTTTATACTTATCTTAATTACTTATATATTATAATCTTATCACATTTTTAATTATTAAAGATTTTTTTATTATATATCTAGTTAATTTATAAAATTTTATCATCACATTTTTTATCTAAAAATATTTTTCATCAAAAATTATAAAAAAAATAGTCATTGTAAGCTTATTGTTTTTTATTATCTATAATTGTAATATTTGAATTTTAATCTTTATAATTACAAACATTCTATTTTGATTATTGCAAATTTTTACCTTTTATTATGATGATTAAGTATCAGTCAATTATTTTGAATAAATATTAATTAAACTTGCTATATTTTCTAAGACTTTTTTATTGATATCTTTTTAAGCTTTTGGGAAAAATTTGTGAGAAGAACATGTAATATGATTTTTTTATAAAAAATATTTAGACTGATTTATTTAATATTATATTCATCTCAAAAGGTATCAGACAAGTTTATATAGTTGTTGAAAGTAATAAGGGGGAGATTGATGACAATGTGAAACATGTCCCTATATTCTCAAGAGATAATTTTGATGATGATTCAAGTCAACAACATTCAAGACTCAAACAAGCCCAATATATGATTTTGATAAAGATTTTATTCAATATTCAAGCAAGCCCAAGATGATTCCTGAAGACTAGATAGAGTCTTAGAATACTGGATATGGAGGTACAAGTTGATGAAGTAATATTATGCATAAGCCTCAAAAGCACAAGTGTGATAAAATTCATAACATGATATTTTTCACTGTCATAATCAATTATGATGCATCAGAAATGGAAAAATGATTTTCTCTCTCATAATTGATTATAGTGGTAACATAATCAATTATGACAATTCAAATTAGAAAAATATATCTGTTTTGAAGAATAAATGTTTTTGAATATATCCTGATTTTTATTTATGAAAATATTAATGTTCAACGAGCATTTTCTGATGCTATTTTTCTATTTAATTAAGTTTTGATGAAAAATAAAAAACACACAATTACAGAATTCGAAAATACAATTTACATTCAATCAGTTATGAGAAAAAAATTTTGAGCAAGACAACAAAGATATTTTACACCTTCTGAGAAAACTTTCACTACTACAAATAAAGCTTTCAACGTCGGTTCTGGAAGGCTTTCAACGTCGATTTAATAACCGACGTTGTATCAGGCGACGTTGAAAGTTGTAACTTTCAACGTCGGTTATACACTTTAGATAGCGGTTCCCTTATAACCGCTATCTAAAGTCGGCTTTAGATAGCGGTTATAAGGGAACCGCTATCTAAAGTCGACTTTAGATAGCGGTTCCCTTATAACCGCTATCTAAAGCCGACTTTAGATAGCGGTTATAAGGGAACCGCTATCTAATGTCGTCGGTTTTTTAGTCCCACCATTGAAAGTATGATTTTTTAAATTAATAATTTTTATTTATTTACAACCCCTTTACCCCCCCCTTTATTATCTAGAAGTCTCCCTCTCTTCCTATTATATTTTTATTTGGTCCTCCATCTCTTTATATTATATTTTTAGAAGTTTTTTAATTTTTAAGAGAATTGTCATTGGCGGGATTCGAACCTAGTACTTTAGAGTTGGAGGCTGATACTCCAACCACTAAACTGCTTGAATTTTTTGATAATAACTTACAAATAAATTATATTTATATACAAATAAATATATATCCGTGTAAATATATACAAATAAACCCAGTACTTTCATCTTCTTCACACTGATAATCCTCCAAAATTTTGTGTTCTTCATGCTGACAGACCCTCCCAAATTCACCTTCTCGCTCACAATTTCACTCCCTCTTTGTGACCTTGTACCAGTGACTATCCACCATTGTTCGAGCTTAATCACCTTCGTCTCTCCAACCCCAATCCTCCACCCTTCTATTCAGCTTCGAAGATCTTTAACCCGAGCATGCATGACCTGACCTCAAGCTTGAAATCCAACCCGAGTGACCTTGAATCTCAAATCTGAGTGACCAAAACACCCAATCAAAACCCAAGCAACTTCGAATCTCAACCCCAGCCTCAACCTCGACGAACTCGAGGCCGAACCCCAACTCTGGCGACATCGAACCCCAAAGTTCAAGCCAAACTGTTTTTATAGAAGATTTTCAAAACTGCTGGTTTAATTAATCTGTTAAAAGATTCTTTTAATCTGTTAAAAGTGCAGTTTTAATCTGTTAAAACTTCTTTTAATCCATTAATACGTTCTTGATTCTTTAACAGATTTGTTTTAACTGATACTGCAACGTTTATATCAATTAAAACACTTAACAAAAAATCTTCTAAGTTGATTTAATCGATTGTTTCACGATTCAATCGATTGAAATACTGCAAAACTTTCTCGTAAAACTTTTCAACTAATTTTAACTGATAAAAATAAGTTTTAATCGATTAAAACGCTGTGCAGAAATTGTTTTAATCGATTGAAACGAGATTTAATCGATTGAAACGCTATCTAAAATGTATCTCGCTTGAGCGATACCCTTCTCGGCAACGCTCGCACAAAATTAGCATTCTCGGTTGTATTTCGCTGGCGATTCTACCTGCCGACGAAATAAGATTCGATCGATCATAACGGCAATGATCGATCATAATTGAAGGATATAATAGCGGTCCTTATAACGCTATCTAAAGTGTATCTCGCTTGAGCGACACGTTTCGCTCGAAACGCCTGCACAAAATTAGCATTCTCGGTTGTATTTCGCTGAGCGACTACTCGCTCGAGCGAAATAAGATTCTGATCGATCATAACTTGAAATGAACGATCATAAGTGCACTTTAGATAGCGGTTCCCTTAGAACCGCTATCTTAAGTGCACTTTAGATAGCGGTTCCCTTAGAACCGCTATCTAAAGTGCACTTTAGATAGCGGTTCCCATATAACCGCTATCTAAAGTGTGTGAGTTTTTGTGGGTTTCAACGTCGGTTATACCCACACCCGACGTTGAAAGCCCATGCATAAGGGTTTTCAACGTCGGGTGAGGGCATAACCGACGTTGAAAGCCTACTTTCCACGTCGGGCATGCTAAAACGACGTAGAATGTGCCAAAATTCGACTTTCAACGTCGGTTGTTGGACAACCGACGTTGAAAGCATATTCAACGTCGGCTACAATGTAACCGACGTTAAACAGCGACGTTGAAAGCATATTTTCTAGTAGTGTTTCTTCTCTACTGCCTTCTATGCTCTCATTGTTAATCACACTTGTTCTTGGAGATTAACATTCTACAAGCTTCTACAATTTGTTGTCTCCATTACCCAGGTGTGACTGTTCTTATTTTTATTACCTTCATCCTTTGTGTATTGGTGGCAAATGAGGTGTTTTTCATCCCTAGTGTGATTCTAGGGAGGTGTTCATCCTTAGTAAAATTCTAAGGAGGTGTTTTCATCCTTTGATTTGTTCAAAGGAGGTTTTCATCCCTAGTGTGATTCTAGGGAGGTGTTCATCCTTAGTGGGATTCTAAGGAGGTGTTTTTCATCCTTTGATTTGTTCAGAGGAGGTGTTCATCCCTAGTGGGATTCTAGGGAGGTGTTCATCATTAGTGAGTTTCTAAGGAGATGATTGTCTTTTTAATTAGTTTACTTTTTACTGCTTCTTCTGCTGAGTTGATTGTAATTTGTAAACTGAATTTGAAAGATAGTGAATTGGAAGTCACTCTTGTGTTAAGAGTTGGCTGGGAACTGAATGTAGGATTGACTATGCCCAAACCAGTATAAATTACTGTGTTCTCTTCTCTTTCCCTTATCTCTTTCTCTTTCCCTTACAAGGAATGAACCTCAATAAACAGACCTCCACTATTTGAAGGTGAAGACTATCAGTTTTGGAAGGCGAGAATGAAAATATTTTTACAAACACTAGATTACGGTGTTTGGGATGCTGTACTCAACGGTCCCTACATTCCGATGAGAACAACGGAGTTTGGAGCTATTCCAAAGACTTTTGATCAATGGACGTAAAATGAAAACAAGTGTGTCCAATATGATGTAAGAGCCCAAAACGCTATTGTTTCTGCCTTAACTCATAATGAATTTTTCAGGGTCTCACAATGCAAGACAACAAAAGAAATATGGGATACTCAAGTGACACATGAAGGAACAAATGAAGTAAAACGAGCACATAAGAACACACTCATCCAGGAGTATGAATTATTTCAAATTCAGCAAAATGAAAGCATCACGGATTTCCAGACATGCTTCACACATATAGTAAATCACTTGAAAGCATTAGGAAAAAGTTTTGACAATGAGGAGTTAAACACAAAGATCTTGAAATTCTTAGACAGGAACTGGCAACCAAAGGTCACTGCTATTACAGAATCAAAGGATCTCACAAAAATGAATATTGTTACTCTATTTGGAAAGCTGTAAGAACATGAGATGAATCTACAAAGGTTAAAGAACGGTGAACAGAATCAAACCAAGACGATAGCTTTAAAAGCAGAAAAATTTTCACAAGATGAAAGCGAAAATGAAGGTGAGTTTTCAGATTCTGATATATCTATTTTTGTTAAACAATTTTCTCGCTTTATAAAGAACAGGAAAAAGACACAGCAAAGAAAGGAGAAAACAAATAAATATCATTGCTATGAATGTGGAAAACCTGTCCATATCAAACCAGACTGTCCAAAACTTAAAAAAGATGTGAAGAAAAGGAAGAATGGTATCTATAAGAACAAACGCAAAACTTATATTGCTTGGGAGGATAATGATTCTTCCACAACACAAGAGAGTTCCTCCGAAAGTAGTGATGGAAAAGAAGAAGCAAATTTTTGCTTAATGACAAAAAGTGATGATGAAGCCTCATCACAGGTAAGCAGTACAAAATCTTTAAATGGATATGATGATTTTTTAAAAGAATATCAAGATATGTATGAAGGTTTTACCAAGTTATCTAAGAAATACAATGCACTTAGACAAAAGTTTGATGTATTAGAAAATATTGTTGGTATTCTTGAAAAAGAAAATGAGTGCTTAAAGAAAGATGTTG